AGGTCTTAAATTTAATTTCACTTGGCATTAAAAGGTCTTAAATTTAACTTTGCTTAAACTGTAGGAACCCTGTGTGTGCTCGCTTCTCCTTAGGGCTGATGGCTCCAGGTGGTCCACGGCCAGGCATGCAGCAGGAGGGCTGGGTGGGTTCTGCCAACGCGCCTCCGCTGGGAGCATCCGGACCCGTACAGCAAAATGCGATGCAGGGCAGAATGGGTCCTCAAATAAGAGCCAACAGCCAGCCCCGGCCGATGCTCCAGTCCCCGATGATGGCCAACGGTGAGACCACGATGTGGCATCAAAACCCTGAATTCACCCCATATTTTTCACACGCATGAATTTAGGATTAATCAAACATTTTAAAGCAACACACTGGCAAATGGGAAACAAAAGATAATGAAGTGTGCCATGGAAAAAGCAACTAGAATGAAGTTCCTACAGTAGGAAACTGTCAGACCAGAACAGGCAAATATTGTTGATTGTGACCTCTGATGCTGGTGAGGCACAGTGAAGATTTTAGCCCACCAAAATATTGTTRACCAGCCCCTCACAGATGTAAATGATGCCACCTTGTGGTTTGTCAAATGACTAAGAAAATAAATAGTTATATCAAAATGTTTGTGCTGTTTTTCTCCAAATATTTTGACAGAAATTTGTCTTCATGTTGTCTCAACAGTTTATTACCATGTCGACTTTCTAACACTTTGTCTTAATCTCTTTAATGTCTCTTAGCCCAACCTGACATGGACATTACTTTGGTCGGCCACCATTTCTCCCAACAACAAGCTCCACCCAACCAGACGGCGCCTTTACCGGACAGCATGATGCCAATCGATCAGACTGTTTTTGTAAACCAGAACAGGTGAGCTGGGACTRTTTAAGATTTGATATGGAACATTTCTGTGATATAGAAAATAAAAAAAATGAACGAAGCATTTTTTTCTGTTTTGGTATTCCTCAGATCTGCACCCCAAGATGATCATCTCTGCAACCCGGGGCTCGGTACTGATGGGAGCGCGGTGGATGAAGGAGCCTTGATGTCCCAGCTGTACACGGCACTGAAAGACTTTGACGGTCTGGAGGAGCTCGATCGGGCTCTTGGGATCCCCGCCCTGGTTGAACAGGTGAGCTTTCCCAACATGCATCATCACATTCACCACTTAAATCCAACTAAATTTCTCTGGTGGCCACAGCTACTGCAGACCCACAGCTCAGGGGCCGAACATCCAGCAGTTAATGTCATGTAAATAAACAACTAYTGTTACCTTTGGAATTAGTTTATTTTGCTGCATTTAATCATGAATGTAACATGCAGAACCCAATGAAATGAAAGTAATGATTTTAATATAATATCAAAAACAAAAATTACACATTATGCCTCCTATTTAACACATATATGTGACCCATCACATTGAAATGAGGATTAAGTCAAATGTGGTCAGAATTACCTAATCATATTTTCAGATTCCTGGCTTTAAAAGTTACATTTTGATACTGAGGTCATCCTGATATCATTAGAAGATACAGAGATATTATTTAATTTGTCTTGTTGGTTACAATAAAACATAAATATTTGGTCTAAATCCTAATTTTATGTGATTTTAATGAGGATTTTTTTATGTCATTTTAAAAATGAAATCTCAAATAGTAATTGAATATTGAGATTTCCCAGCTAGAAAGAAACAAAAGCTTTGATAGGTTACAGGGAAAATCTCAAAATTTTAAGGCATTTTTCCTCAATCAGATTTTTTTGTTGCTAACGCTCAAAAAAGTGCTTCAAAAAAATTTTTAGGATAATATTTCAGACAGTTCATTGAAATGATACATTGATAACACATTTATTTGTTATATTTTTACAAAATGTAATTTTTGCAAGTATTTTAATCAAAACACTATGTCTGCCTTTTTCTCCACATACAACTTTTAGACTTAATCCTCGTTTCGATGTGATGTCATATTATTTTGACATCTCTAAATGATCTTAGTTTTATCTTGAGCTGATTGTAGTTTTTACTCTCATGAGTGTTCATAGAAGTGTTTTATTTTCCAGCTTTTAGCCAAGATTCAGATGTAGATATCACACGTCTAACTGAATGAACTTAAAGTAATTCAAGTATAAAACTGGGAGTTTGGGATAAGAGATTAATGAACCAGTTGATGGGCCAGAGTTTGGTCACATGTGGGCCYGATGTGGCCCACYTGCCACCAGTTGAAAAGCCCTGACGTTAAAGGTTTTTTGGGGATATCTCATCACGGTTGCTGTATTCGTCGCTGCCTGTTTCAGAGCCAGTCACTGGAGCCAGACCAGTTCCCACAGGACCCCTCCATGATGTTAGACCAGAAGCCCCCAATGTACACCCAGCAGTTCGGCCCTCCACCGTCCCACATGGCACCGAGGGGCTTCCCCGCGGCTCCCCTTCAAGAACCCAGCTTTCACCCCATGTCCGGCCAAATGGGTCCGCGGCCGGGTTACCCAATGATGAGAATGCAGCCTCGGCCGGGACTCAGGCCTGTGGGCGTAGCCCCCAACCAGCCCAACACACTACGACTGCAACTCCAGCACCGGCTACAGTCACAACAGGTACACAATGCAGCGAGACCACCCTGACACGACTAGACGTGATAAATACAACCTATTGATTCTTGACTCTGTTGCAACCTCAAATCTGATGTTTTGCAGCTCAGATATGAGTTGTGCAATTCTCCTTTAGGTCAACAGTTTAGTTGGTTTGTGTTTGCCCATGTTTGCACTAAGGGGTCTGCGAGCCATGGTTTAACCCATCTCTGTAAAAATGTGCAAAAAGATTCCATGTTTTAATTTAAGGCTGCCTGATATTAGGGAAATAGTCAACTTGTATTAGTTACATTGTGTATTCTTACATCAGATAAACTTGTTTTTATGAGAAAAATTGAGATTATTTTAAATTTGAAACAGTTTGAACAAAGTTAAATCATGAGTAAAGCTGTTTGAGTTACACGTCATTTCTTTGTGTTGTCTCAGCAGAACCGTCAGCCAWTGATGACTCAGATGAGTAGTGGGTCAAATGTGAACCTACCCCTTCGAGCCAGTGCTCCAACCCAGGTACATCACCACAACCATTATGTCACTTCTCTGTCATTATGATATAACTTGACACAGTTAGGGATTTMCTAATAAAACTGAAATCCCAAAGTAGTTGGGACATTGTCTAAAATCTTATCAGGTCACAGTGGACCAGAATAAACATATCACAGTACTGTTTGTTTTTTGAGGAAAACAAAAGATACATTTTAAATTTGATGGTAGCAACATATCTTTAAAGGGAACATTAAACATTATTTAATAAACTTGTACTTCAACTATAAAAACAAAAATGTAAAAATACTGTAGGCTGCTTTAGTTTTATAAATTAAAAAAAGTGACACGAACTGCACCACATTATTTACGCAGCAGAGCATAGCAGGGTTTACCAGGTGTTCAGGTGTGAGCTCTGACGATCAGCATTATGATGAAACCAGAACGAGTTGCCTGAGAGAAGAATGTAGAAATGACTCAATCTGAAACTGAAAATGTGGATGAAGGACAACGGAGCTGCTTCGTGGAAGGAGAAAACCAGCTTAGCCTGTTAGCTTTAGTGTTAGCTCCCAAGCTAACACCAACAGACTAAATTTGAAGTTTCACACATTTCACACATTTCTACATTCTCGCCTGTCAACATGCTCTGTATGAGTTGTGGCGTTAATAATATGGTGCAGTTCGTGTGCCAATATAATATGTTTTAATTTATAAAATTTAAATAGCCTACAGTATTTTTACGGTCTTGTTTTTATAGTTGAGTAAATGTTTATCAAATAATGTCTAATGTTACAACTGGTCGGGGTTTCCTTTAAAAAGCTGAGACAAACAAAGCCTAAAGGTAAATGGTACAAATTTAAAACCAATTAAAACAGCTTTTTGTAATTACTTAGGTTTATTTTGGTTTTTAATAGATTCACAAATCATTGTTAATAATCAGTTTTTGTTTACACTTTACACAACATCCCAACTGTTTCAGAATAGGTGTAGTTTGAAGCTTTGAACATGAACATTTCTCTCCTTTTTTGTTCCCCCTCCTTCCACTTCCTCCTTCTGCTCCTTCCAGGCAACCATCAATGCTCGGATGTTGGCTCAGCGTCAGCGGGAACTTCTGAGTAACCACCTGAGGCAGAGGGAGCAGGTGCGACAGGCCCAGCAGGTTCAGCAGCAGCGGAGCATGGCCATGAGAGCCACCCTGCCTCCCAACATGGCCGCCGTGGGCATGAGCAGCCCCAGGAATCCTCAGGCAACCCCCCCGCAGTTCCCCTACCCGCCCAGCTACGGTACCAGTACAGGCCTGGCCTCGTCCCCTCCCCCCACCAGCCCGTTCTCCTCCCCTCTCTCCCCCAGCCTGCCCTCTCTCCCCCCCACCCCTCAGCTCCATCTGCATGGCACCTCCTCCTCCTCCTCCTCCTCTTCCTCTCAGATGATGATGGGAAACACAAACATGATGGGCGGACAGTACGGGGCCGTACTCAGCCCCCAAATGCAGCACAGTGCCTTTCAGTTTCCCAACTCAGGTACTGCTCCCACTCCTCAGCCCACCACACACCTCAGAGCCCCCGTGTGTGTGTTTGTGTGTGTGTGACATCATGTATCTGTGTTGGTGTGACTGTAGCAGCACAGCATCACTCTTTAGTCTGATTCATATGATGATGATGATGATGATGATGATGACCACATGTATCACTCGTTGACTCATGCTGCAGTCACTCACTGTCTTCATGAAACCAATTATAGATTTCGATTTAGGCTTAAAATGTGATGATTCGTTTTTACTCCACTAGAGGGCATCAAGTGCTCACTAATTCAGGCAGGATGCACTCTGACACCTAAGTCATGTCTGTAATCTGATTTGTCTGATGACAGGTTTGGTTTATCCCCTTATTTTATTTCTTTTTGTGGGTTTTCTCCCTTGGATCCCTCATCGACTCTCTTCCTGTTTCGTTGTTCCAGTGCATGTAGGAGACATTAACTGCCTGTGAATAACCCTGAATGCAAACTGAAATTTCTCTTCTGTGTCATAATAATCCTCATGTTTTTATTTATTTTATTTTTTTACTCCAAATCTGATTTTCAAAAGCCTCATCTTGAAGCAGATCATCTGGAATGTTAACGCCCTCCTCGCTCCTTCGTTTGTCAGTAAATGAGTTTATTTGCGATTCTGTCTGATGTGTATTTTTATATACATCCCACACAGGTATGAACCAACAGGCAGACGCAAGCTTTGGAGGAACCAGCACGCCGCAGAGCCCCCTGCTGTCCCCCCGCATGGCCCACACTCAGTCCCCCATGATTCAACAGGGCCAACAGAACWCTGCTTTCCAGGGTTCTCCTGACATGAACGGCTGGCCGCAGGGCAACATGGGAGGGAACAGGTAAAGAGGGCGACGAGTAAACCGGGGGGTGTCGAACTCGTTTTCACCGAGGGCCACATGAGCGTTAATTATCTTTGACGTTTCGAATTTAACTTAGACTAAACAGGAAACATCACACTCCTCGTCTCATTGCTGCGGCTGAGCTCTGCGTGGTATTTCCTGCGTAGACACAGGTTTTAGCATGTCCTCCTAAAAACACTGAAAGGTACCACAAGTATGACTGACTAAATGTGAAGTAAGTACTGCAGAAATATTAAACGTTCAAGTTTTTTACTCACTGTTGTGTAGCTGCCATCTTGAATTCTAAACTCTCCCACACCACTTTCTGACATGCAGACACACTGTTTAAATTTACAACTTGTAAGTGGGAAATTCCCACTTCCTACAACTTCTGGTGCGTTCCATTTAAATCGTATTCTGGAACTGGGAAGTGGTAGTGACGTAATTTCCCAACTAACCGTATGAAACCACATTCCAGTCAGCCCACAGGTGATTGTGTTGCTGCTGCTAACCTAGTTACAATATAAACAATGATAAAAAAAGAGCTCTACTACGTATGTCATGCAAATAAACATTAATTTTAATAAGTACAGTATGCACAAAAGATGCACTAATTGTACGAGTGATTAAACATCCACTGTAGGGGGCGTTCCAGTTTAAATTTACGAATGAGAAAAAGAAATTTCCATTGTCCAGTGCTACTGGAACACACCATGAGCTGCAACAAAAGTTAGTTTTGAACACTGTCTACTTCCACCTAGTGGTAGGATGTCGTCATTTAGTAAAATAATGGACATGCATCATGGGAGGTGTAGTTTGGCCAGTTTAAAGGAGGATACGCTTATTTTAAATAATTAACTCACCTTTGAGGCTCTTGCGAGCCCCAAAAAATGCCATGGCGGGCCACATTTGGCCCACGGACCTTGATTTTGTCACATGTCTTAAAACTATTGTTTCAAAATAGAAATATAACTTTAAAAATCTGGAATTTTTAACCTTTTTTGTCTGAGACTGAAAATAGGTAAGTTTTTTAATAAATGTGTGCTGATTTCTAAATGAATCTTTTTTTTAAATCTTTTAAATACATTTGAACTGTTTTTCTCCAGCATTAAATTGAAACAATAACACAAAATCCTTTGTTCAAGCAATACTCCAGTTAACTTTTTAACTAAAAGTAAGAAACGTAGAAAAGAATTCTTTAAAACAAAGATTGAGACGAGTCAGGAGTCTGTATTTGTGGGAGCTTTGCACACTTGAACACATTGTTTCGACGGTGACTGTAGCAGAAGAATCCAACGGGCGTGTTTTTGTGTTCCCACTCCTGTCCTCAGTATATTCCCGCAGCAGCAGACATCCCCGCAGTTCACGCAGCAGAACAACGGCAACATGTACAACGGCAGCGCCATGAGCCTCAACAGCATCTCCATGAGCACCAACATGGCACCCAGCAGCATGAGTCAGATGGCGGGACAGATGAGCATCACATCCATGGCGTCAGGGTCCTCACCTGGCCTGCCCTCCATGGGACAAGAACAGGTACGTTCCACTCAGGCTGACCATCCACAGCGCACCTGTAATCTGTTAGCTGTTTTGCTCAAAGTGCATGTGACGTGCACGTCCTTCGAATGCAAAAAGTCAAAGAAAACATCTTTACATTTAAGAAACTTTACYTAACACATATGATTTTATCCATTTTGTCACATAACCGGCATATTTTCTTCTGAACTTGGCTCAGRTAATGTGAAACAGGAAGTGACATCAAAGGGGGACTTTTGAAGAAAAGAAAACCTGTTTTTTGTTRATAGAAAAAAAAATATTTGACCTTTGACTCTTCATTTCTCTCTGATTCAAAATAATCTAAAGAAACATCAGATTCTTCTCTACCGTCTGTTAGTTATTATAGCATTCAGACATACCCCTTTGACATCACTTCCTMTTACTTCACATGCAAATATCTCAACACCTGTTCATGTCAGTGACATAAATTTTTTTTTGCAATAATTTATCAATGTTATCTTTCCAAAAATGCATTTATGTTCATTACAAAAATTTGGTGCCACAGGTACTTTAAAGTTGTCCTGATGCATCTCAGTAATCCAGGTAAAAAAATCAAAAAGAAAAAAATTGTAGGTCTTCTGGACGGGTTCTTCTCTAATGAAACATTTCGTCTCTCCTCCAAGAGACTTCTTCAGTCTGAGAGTTTCAGGCAAAATTCAGGCTTTTAAGCACTGCCTCCATGTGACTGATACATCACATCACATGGCTATCGTTGACACCTAATTAACACTTATTGTTAACAGGGGGTGGAGTGATACTGGCAATAGCCGCGCTGTAGGAGGAGGACAACTGAAAACGGAGGCCTCCACCTCTGTTTAAGACCGTCCATCATTAAACAGAGGTGGAGGCCTCCGGTTTCAGTTGTCCCCCTCCTACAGTGCTGCTATTGCCAGTATCACTCCACCCCCTGTTAACAATAAGTGTTAATTAGGTGTCAACGATAGCCATGTGAGTATCAGTCACATGGAGGCAGMGCTTAAAAGCCRGAATMTTGCCTGAAACTCTCAGACTGAAGAAGTCTCTTGGAGGAGAGACGAAACGTTTCATTAYAGAAGAACCCGTCCAGAAGACCTATACAATTTTTTTCTTTTTGTACTTTAAAGTTGTTTGTTATTCTGAGACTCTGTTACTGAATAGCCCTGCTGGTGAATAATTTACTCAGTAGTTTACGTAACTTTTTTTTTTGGTCAGAGTTCTACATGGTTTAAACTTAGACAGGGATGTGATTAGCACTGAGATCCTCACACAAGCAGCAGACGTTACTCGTCCGCTCCCAGACGAAAGCGATGATGTTTTCATGTCAGGAACATTTGATTCCTGCTGCGTTTTTCATTTAATTCCAACCAAGTTAATTTGTCTCCCCTGGTCTCTGGCGTTGTTAGCTCAGTGTTTGAAATGTTGGCCGTAATGCTTTTAAGCCAGTAAAGGCTGATGAATATTTAATGGTGGCGATGCCGTTTGCTTGTCTGCACTCCAGACTGATGTAACGTGTCACTGGACTTACCTCACCTTTCAGGTTTATAGAAAATTATTGGCACTTAGTTTATTTTAATTATTTACTGTTAGCCCATTAGTACATGCATTTGTGATTTAGTGGTGTTATTTATTATCGTTTTTTTTTTACAACCAAGGTTGTTGGTTTGTAATTGCTTAAGAGTCTTGAGTTTTGATGCAGTTATTTTAATGAAAAATCTGAACTAATTTTTTTTTTTTTTGCAGAAATATTGTTGACCTTCGTGAAGCCTCACGACTCAATCTTCAAAGATCAGCTGGAGCGAGGAGCTCGTCGGCCCTGTAAGAACAAAAACGCAAACTAATCGGCTGCCCCTCGAACCAGCCAGGCCAGCGCCCTGAACCCCCCCTCGTCCTTCCCTTGTCCCCCACCACCACCACATATAGACACAGTGCGCAGAAGGCCGGGGGAAGGACCTCCAGCCAACTTACCTAACCCCTCCTGGAGGAGAGCCTGCCGATGAATCTGCCTGTCCAGCCGCATTCACCGTAGTGTGACTTACTGTCGGCCTCCTGGAGGGGGCGAGGTGAGGGGGGGGGGACATGAAATTGGGCAGAAGCGTCGGGGTCTTTGTTCTGATGAATGTATTCCTCTCAGTGGACCGCGGCCATTTACAATCTCGTCTCAAACTCAAACTGATTCATTTTCTCCTCCGGCTACATTTGTTTGTTTTTCTGTTTCAAAACGGCAGCAAAGACTCCCAGGTTACGTTCGGAATCATGGATGGAGATCAAACAGGACAGTTTTGCCTTTTTTTTTTGCTGTTTGTTATTTTATTATTATTTTAGTTTTTTATTCTTGTGAAAATTCAAATGTAGAGTGACGACGTGGCGGGAGGAGGAAGAAAAAAAACTGTTCTTGATAAACACTGCAGAAGAATGATTGGAGTGAAATTCTATGATTAGACTAATTTAGTCGAGAGGTTTAAATAGTGTATTAAATTAAGTTTTATTTTTCTGTATAGATTCATTTTAATTATTGTAGATGATTCTTTATCCTTGTAGCAAGAAGACGGTTCCTAAAAGTGTAAAAGGAGCACTTTTCTATCATTTTTAACAGTAACGGTTTTATTCTTTCTGAGAAGATTCTTCTATTAACCTGAATTATGGATTATGCTTTGGTCCGGTTGTTTCAGAAAAATCAAATATGGTTTAAAATGAATTGTACATACAGATAAGTAAAATGTTTTCTTTCTTATTTATTTTCTTCACTAGGGGTTTTTGTTCTCCCATCCTGGTCAAAGCTGCCTCTTGAAGTAGTGCAGTTATTTAGCTTTTTGTTTGTTTTGTTTGTTTGGTTTTCGGGAACCCTGACGTTGTGGTACGATGAAGAAGGGGCGGGGTTTCTGTGAGAAGTCGGGCGGGTTGTAAAAGGGTGTGCTGTGTATACAGTGTACAGATTATGGCTTGCTTCTCTGCCTTTAGCATAGAACACAAACAAAACAAAAAAAAACTCAACACAGCCATACGGTAACTCAAAAAGTATAAAAGTGTGCTTTCTTTGTCGTCTGGAGTGAAAAGTGCTTCATACAAGCTGCTAGGTGCAAACTGTTCTGGTGTGATGTAAACAAGCAATAACAATTACTTGAGAATTTCCTCCTTTTTGTTTGTTTGTTTGTTTTTTGTAAGTTTTGTACAGTTTCCTGAATATGAAAAAGGACACATTTTTGCTCTGCGTTTGGATGCAGTATTAAACACGGTTTTTTTATTGCAGTTTGTACCAAGAAAGTCTACAATCCACACATACAGATATACACACACACACACACAGCGCTCTTATTAAATTATGCAGCACCGGGCTGAGATCCGGAGAGGGAGGTGGTTTATCCGCACCCCCCCGTATTAAAAGGCGCCCCCCTCTCTTCCTCCAGCCTTTCTTCTATCGCAGAGGTCAGAGTTAAGACTGCATGCTTTACGAGGCTCCTGCTCTGACAGACACTTAGCCATATTTTATGACCTCAGGCGAGTTCGTTCGACTCTAAAGGTAATGACGCGCTGTTCTTGCGATGGCTTCACCGTCGCATCCGAAGCAAATCATCCTCTCTAACCTCAAACGTTTAAAAAAGAAAAAAAATGTTTTTTATATAAACTATTTTAACCCAGGACAGACTTTGAGCAAGCCAAATAATCCTCACATTTCAATTGGATTTCTCAATTTCCTTTCAGTCCCTTTTTTCGTCACCAGGCCCACGCAAACCAGGAAACCTCCAATGATGTCACTTAACGGGTCTGACGCGGACGCTTCATTGTAAAACAGGAAGAGAGTCACTCTGAATGTATCGTCATTACAGGCCTAAGGATGTGACTTATTTCCCTCCGTGGTGTTTTGCAGTCACGCTCTTCTCCACTTGTTGCTTTTTATTGTTTTTCTCTCTCTGTATGAAATTTTGAAGCTGTAGCAGGTCTGTTCCGGGACAAAGAGAGGCTGCATGAGCACTCTGGTTTGCCCCTGCAGATGTTTTTTTTTTTTTTTTTTTTTGTCGCGGGGGTCTACAGGAGATTTTCAGTGCTGTTTTGATTGTAAAAATCCACCTTTGCAGGAATATATATATTTAAAAGACAAAAAAGAAAGAAAGAAAAGCCTTTTGAGCCATTTTAAAGGATTCACAGCCCTTTGCAAAACTCCCAAAGATTGTCGAGATTTTGAACTGACTTAAAGCCATGTGGTAGCAGTGCGTTTTATTTGATTTTTATTAGCATTTATAATGAGGACCGGTGCAAAATAAATCCTTTTGCCCACGTACAGATATTCAGGCTTTGGACTCACTAAACAAAACCTTTTTTTTCCTCTTTAACTTAAAGAACTTTAAATGCCCTTTTGTATTGTCTGCTGGTTTCTTAGAGCTAAGATGCAACCTTTAAACGCTAACCCCGCTCCCAGAGTAATGCCTTAGATTTTTGTCTGTTCCTGTTTCCTGTAAATGAATTCTTCTGCTGTCTGTATAAAATTGTATAATGACTGGTGTACAGTATTGAATGAGTGCATCGTTGTTCAACTCTTATCAGCTGCTGACGACTCTGCCACAGTTTTTAACGCACCCCCACATCATTGCTCTCCTCTGTGTTGGGTTACGTCAACGATGGAAAAAGAAACACATATTGAAGCAATATGTTCTAAACTGTATGGACTTCTCTGAAGAAGGCTCCCACCCGCATCCATCACAGGAGTCGCACCTAAAACCTGCATCGATCCGATCTTTGTACCCCCCAAYTGTGTGTGTCTGTGTGTGCGCGCATGTGTGAGCGTTTTATGCAAAATTAGATATACAAGAGAAGTTAAAACCACAGTTATGCAAGTTGTGAACTAATATGGCTTCGCTGATGCTATTTGCCTTGTAAATAAAGAATTCTGTTATTGCATTATTTAACTGAGTGCCTTTTTATTTGAACCAGCCCTCGTCCTTTGTTTTCTGTTTTGTTACATAAAGAAGCTTGATTATTTGAGATTTGTAATGGTTTTTAAGAACAGTGTAATATTAACCCAGGCTTGACAAGYATGCTAAGTTTGTAAGTGGGACATTTTGTACAATTCAGCTGGGGGGGAGMGGGGTAGTATCCCCATTTTTTTTTACTAAATTCAGTTGATGAGACTTGTTTCCGAATTTTCTTTTTCAGCTTGTGTGTGGACGAAGAGTAAAAATTTAATGTTTTATTTAAAAGTGAAATGAAAAGTGTTTCAATTCTGACATTTTCGATTTACGTTAGCTTTCCGTAAATCGAAACAAGTCATGAAAAATTCTTGTTTTTAGAATTTTTCTMGGTTTAAAAAAAAACTTCTCGATTTTAAATTTATAGGTGAACATCGACAAAACATTCTGGGTCATTCTAGCAAATTTTTTGTGTTAAATAAGAAAGTGAAGTCATGTTTTTTTAGGTTTGAGAGAAAGATGTAATTATGTTGATTGCGGTGTGTTTTCCATGAGATTACWGTGTTTCCTACCTGCAGCGGCAACACGCTTCAAATGGAGCGATCATTTTCAGAAAGAGAAAAAAAAAGAGGTGTATATTATTTACCATAACACTGGTTTTACTTGGTCAGTTGATACAATTTAAAAGCTGCTGTATACTTTTGACACGGTCTCACCCCCCAATTTACACTGCATGTGTTTCCGCTGAACAGTTCACGTCATTAGTTTCCACCCCAGTTTCCACTGCGTCCGCTCCGGTCCAGGTGCTCCGAGAGGCCRGTGCAGGAAATGCAGGATTGTGCGATAAAGCTGGTGATAAATGTGGAAGTCAAACCAGATTAATTCATTATGTGGAAGTTGGACTGAAAACAACTGAAACCACATCACTGATGTCGTCTTGAAACGTCATTATTGAAAATAAAAGCCACTTGTATTTGTGTGTATCCATATGCTGCATGTTGAGATCTGCTTTCCAAACAATGATAAATTTTGACAGCATGTGTGTTTCCATATTTCCATATGTTTATTAATTTAGCTAGGATTTCAACAAAATTAGTCTGTCTGTGGTGAATTATTTTGAAAATATGAATGTTGCGCTCGTTCCTTTTACTGTTGTGGTGGTCTGATCTTTGTAGATTGACTCCGCTGGCGACCGTCAGAAATATAATTGAGTCTAATTTTGTTGGACCACCACCGTTACTGTAGAGTTGATAACCAGAAAAGCCTTTTGTGATTCAGTGAAACATCTATAGACATTCAGTCGGTGATCAATTAAATCTCAAACTCAGAATTTGTATTAATTTGGTTATCGAGGTTTTCAACTCTCAGGACTCTGAGGAGGAGGGAGAAATGATGTCAGGAGCTGTGATCAGTTCATTAAGATAAATATAAAATGTCTGTCTATGATCTTCCATAATGTAGCTAACTATTCACTGTGATCATTGGCAATAAGTTATCAATATTAAAATCACAACTTTGTATAAAAAAACTGTCCATCAAAAATTCAGGTTAGACTTATTTTATTTTACATTTTGTCTGCAACTCAGTCCTAAAGTGCTTTCATTTTTACTAAAAGTATTTTAATTAATTGTGAATTTTTATTACTGTTATCCGCACTACACATTTCCACTCAAAATCTGATACTCTTATGTTAAAATGTTTTTATAATSAACGTGTGATCATTGATCGGTATTACTGTGATTAACTACTATACTACTATGATTTAGGTACAATGGMGCCACCTGGTGGATCTTAAATGTACTGCAGGTTCTTAGGTTCAAACAACTCTTTATCTGTAAAATGAACAATATTAATCTAAAAGGCTTGAATTAACACCAGAAATCTGGATGCACTGATACTGGTTGTKTGGCCGCTACAGATTTCCAGACTGTGTAATGATTGTTATGTGRAGTCCATAAAAGTCTCCAAACACACCAGAACTAGATTTGAGTCATTTAGAAAAAGGTGCTAGAAGGATCTGAAAACTGGCTAGATCTAGGGAGAAAGTCACTTGACAACATGGATTACATGCTCGTTTCTGTCTCCTGTGCAGATGGTGTGTTCTTAGATCAAAGAAAATGTCAGATTTCCCAGAACTGACCATTTAAAAACGGGAAAAAATCTGATTATTTTTGTGAATGTTTGTCCAGTTTCAGGCCGATTGCSCAATGCATCCCTACCAGGATCACATGAGCTGTGTCTGGATTCTGGGATTGCAGCCAACGTAGGGCCTATTCGTCACCCCACGCTGTAGGCTGTCCCAATTTATAGGTGTCTACTTATGCAGCCAACAAAACCCCGAAAACCTAGGCTTGAGTATCCTAGTTGTTTTTGTTTTGTTTTGTTTTGTTTTGTTTCATTTTTAACGCCAAAATTTGGAAATTTATCACAAACCATTTAGCAACAGAGCTGATGTAATTTTTGCTGCAATGAGATGTTGAATGAAATGCAATTACAAACACTGATACTGGAGTTAAACCCAAATTATTATTATTTTTTAGGATGCTAAGTAAGTCGCAGCAGCAATCAAAAAATGCATCATGATGAAGAAAAAAACAGATACAAGTTGGCATGGCTTTGYTGTATAAATCAGAACACGTTTAATCTGGAATAGCCCTACTAACACAGACAGATGACAGACGTTTGCAACGATTGTATTTTTTTTGCACAAATTCAATTAAACAACATCCCCAGGTAGATACCAAAAACAAATCCCCCCCCCACACACACACACACACACATACACACAAATTGTATAATGTGTGGTTTTGTCTTCATGTGTGAGCATTWGTCTTGTGGGTTTATGTCAGGGACTATGCAACGCTAAGTGGCTAAAGCAGTTAGCTTTCCCCAAAACACTCAGAATAGAGTCTCAAACCATCTTTATGTACGAAAACATAGCAAAAAAAAAAAAACTTAAGCGGGGCGAGAACAGAGCACAAATAATAACTCGCTTTCAATGGACGCACTCTGTTAGTGAAACCGATAAATTAGGTTTGTATCATGCAGACAGCGCTTTTAACACTTCGTGTTCAGGATTATACAGGATTGTGGAGCCTCTAGTGGCAGAAAATGAAACTGCAAAAAGACTCTAAGGGCTGGAAACAAGCAAATAACATTTTGTGCAATTTTCCTTCGCCGACTAGAGAAAAAGAGAAATTATTAATAATTTACAGTTATGCCAACACAGTTAAACTGAAATAAATTGATGAAGCTAGATAACCCCCCAAAGCTAACCGGAAAGTTTAACCCGGATGCTATGTTAGCACTGTACGCTTACAACTCATTTTAATTTGTTCACTATGACTTATCCTCTCTGTCCAATACAAAAAAAAATATATTTGTTTCTGTGTTCTGTATGCACTGACAAGAAAAAGTCAGGTTTGGTATTAAAAAAAAGTCATGGGGTTGCTATTATGTCAGTTTCGGTCCTCCATACATCATTGCCAAAACCTCATTTCATTCTTACTTGTAATCATACAACAAACAACAAAGTTTAAAGAAAACTCATGTATCAGTTAAATTATTTGCCTTAAAAATTGCACATAAATAGTGGAATATGTTTCCTTTGAAAAGATCCCTTCATGCAAACCTTTTCATATTCCAAATCCTAAAACTTATGTAACAAAGTTTTATGTAAGAACATTCCCTTGTATTTTCTTCACAATGATTTAAAATTGTCCTTGATGGTTTAAGTTGTGTGTATTTTTCCTCTATTAGTGAACATTTAAATTTAACATCTGGTGTGCATTTCTTTGACTTGTTGACAGGAGGAGTTGTTAGATTTTCATTTAGGAAGTGATCCATTGATGAAATATAACTTTTCAATCCAATGTTAAATCATTTCTGTGAACTCCTCTAGAAAAAGTTAGCTCTTTGTTAGTCTGTAAGTTGATATGTTTTTAACAGTTTTGAGAACCTGGCCCTTTAATTAAAGCTCTCCGCCTGGAGAAAGATGTATTGAGATGCATGAGCTGCTCCTCAGCCAATGGAAGGCAGGAGGGAGGAAGCCGAGGAGCATCCTCTTCATCAGACATGCTTGTGTCAACTCAATAGTTGCCCTCAGATGACCACACAGAGCCACACACAGGCAGCAGGACAGACTGCTGCTGGCTGTCCCTCCTGAACTTTGATTTGGCACATGTTTMGCACAACGTTCACGACGGAAAGAACACTTCACTTTGAAACAACTGATTCATTTCAGGAGGTAAGTTTGATTTATATTTGATTTTAAAAAATGAAGTGATAATTATTTGGCAAATTGTTTCAGATACCCTGCTCTTCTTTAAGAAAAGAAAAAAGCTGATGATTACGCGCGGAGCAGGAKGCGCTCCATTCTTTTTACGCATTCCTCTTTCTCCACGTCTGTCTTAAATTATTGTCAAAGACTATAAAATGCTTCATTAATGCTGACCTCTGCTCTGAGCTGACTGTTCTCTGATTGGTGTCATGACCCTGGTTTGTCTCTATTTACTGGCTGCTTGGGAAGCAGGGTTTTTAAACATGTTTGGACCGGGTGGTGTGTGTGACCTCTCAGCTGGAAATATTGCAAACTCGGCTGTCCTTTTATTCGCACCCCCTCCTGGTCATTATTTGCTCAGTGGTTTAGGCTGTTAAATGAGAAAATCAGACCTGCGCCTGGTTGAAGGAGGTAAATCTCGTGTGGTAATTTTTTTTTATGTTGATAGAAATCACCTTCTCATGCCTCCTCTTTTTCTCCTCCAACAAGAAAAAAACAAACCCTCCGTGCTGTCATGTCCCTCTCCAGCATCATGCTGAAGGACAGCCCAGCCCGGGGCTTCTTCCCCGGCCCGCACCCCTACATCTTCCCCGGGACGCACAGCCACCCCCACCCGCTCAAGTCGCTCGGCCGCCTGGTGTCGGACACCTCCCTGCCCCTCGGCCTGCCCGGCGGCGCCTTCCTGAACCAGAGCGGCCCGGCTCTRCACGAGCACATGATGCTGAGCGCGTTCCCGTACAACCCGAGCCAGATGTTGGCCGGACACGCGCTGTTCTCCAAYCCGGAGGAGCTGGCCGCCGTGGTGACGGAGCACGCAGCCGGTCCTCTGTCCGCGGACTTCAGCAGCCCTGCCAGCGAGAGGTCCTCCTCCTCCTCCTCTTCCTCCTCCTCCAAGGAGAACTTGTTCGGCCTGCAGGGCGCGCATCTGTCTCCGGAGAAAAAGMCCACAGCTTACAACTTCAGCGAGGACGACCTGTTCCTGGTGCTTTATGGGTACTCCACCGGGCATGAGCGCAGCGTCGGGCACGCCGTTTCAGGAGTGAGCCTGCCGGGAAGCCAAGGTGATCCAATCAGATCAGGTTTAGTGACAAACAAAACACAAACAGGCTCGATTAAATAACATTCTGTCATTTCTTGCTTTCGCAGCCTCGGAAGCTCACATCCCGCTCGACAAGGAAACTCTTGAACTCCCAGAAGGTAAGAAAAGAAAACTGTAAAAAACCCCTAAAGGTGATCTGCTTCACGCAGCTGAGCTTAAGCTCCYTGTTTCAGGGTTAATTATCCTCCAGGCGTCTTGGGGAAACGCTTCCCACTGTGGGGTTTTCACGGATAAACGCAGCATCCCSAAAGGCGCGCGCTTCGGACCTTTCCAAGGAAAACTGGTGAACACCAGCGAGATAAAAACATATGATGACAACACGTTAATGTGGGAGGTGCTGACCTTTGTTCTTCACCTGTTATTTATTTTTATTTTTCAGTTTTATGCCTGTTTAATAATAATAATAATAATAATAATAATAATAATAATAAAAACTGCTGCTGCTCCCCCAGGTGTTTGAGAACGGCCGGCTGAGTCATTTTGTGGACGGCAGAGGCGCGTCAGGGAACTGGATGTCTCTGGTGAAGTGCGCTCGTTTCCCGGAGGAGCAGAACCTGGTCGCGGTGCAGGTCCAGGGCCAGATCTTCTACGAGGCCTGCAAAGAGGTCGGTCCGGGCCAGGAGCTTCTGGTGTGGTACGGAGACTGCTACACCCAGTTCCTCGGGATCCCGCTCACCCTGAAGGACCCCAGAGAGGACAACAACCCGGTCCCCCCCACCGAAGGTCCGAATCTCTCGGTCTGTTCTAGTTTTACTTCCTTAAACAGGATTGTTTATTTATTTGTTTTTGTTTTTGTTGTTGTTGTTGTTGTTGTTGTTGTTGTTGTTGTTGTTGTTGTTGTTCTCCTCCAGATGCTGGGGAGGGCTTCAAGTGTGACCGGTGCGGCAAGGTGTTTGCCTACAAGTATTACAGAGACAAACACCTGAAGTACACGCGCTGCGTGGACCAAGGGGACCGGAAGTTCCCCTGTCACCTGTGCAACAGGTCGTTCGAGAAGAGGGACAGGCTGCGGATCCACGTTCTGCACGTGCACGAAAAACACAGACCTCACAAGGTACTGAYAGCCGCGCGCGCGCTGGATGGCGTGGTGCTGAAGGGACAGCTCCCAGGAGCCGGACTTTGCGCAGCATTCGTGCAAAAATATATTTTTCTTTTAAATGAAATGTAGCTTTATTCCTTTTTCAAACAGAATGCGAACAAAATTAATGTTTTCTTTTCCCCCCTTTTATTTCAAATGTGATTAATTAAATTGTGTCTCTTTACCTGCAGTGCTCAGTTTGTGGAAAGAGTTTTTCTCAGTCTTCCAGCCTCAACAAACACATGCGCGTGCACTCCGGAGAGCGGCCTTACAAGTGCGTCTACTGCAACAAGGTAAAGATGGGTTTTATTTTTATTTTCTAGAAGTTTAATTCAAACATATTAGACACTGATATTTAAACCTGTTCTTACAGAACAGTTCAGGAACAGGTCAGGTTTAAGAACCAACCCATCTGGAGAGTTTTCYGAAACAGGAAATAAATGTTCACAGTATAACAATATTTACCCTGTTTTTTTCGTGATGATATTCTATTTTTTCACTCTGAACATAAACTGTTTTGTCTGTTAAGAATTATTTAAAATAAGCAGCACAGAAATAATAACAGGTTGTATTTTATCAGAATATTTATAATAATTTACCCTGTCCAAAACGCTTTTTAAATTTGTTCTGTTTTGATGTTTGCAAAAAAAAATCTCGTTTTCTATAGTTTCCTGACTCAGAATTATTATCAGGTCGCCCCAGGCTGTTCTCTGTTCATCTGTCTTATCTTTTAAGTGTTTTTTTTTTTAGCTTATTTCTGGGTTTAACCTCCTGTTATTGTTCCGAGAACCGCGAGACACTCAGACGCTGATTACCGCCAGATGTGCAGGCCGACTTTTGTCCTCCGAGCTTCTTGCTTTTAATTTACGATCCTGAAAGGAGCAAAGACAGTTTGTTAAACTTTTAAGGACATTTTCTAAGCAAAGAAAATWGTTTCCCCGCTCCTGCCCTAACCTGGACTCGAACCTGCGACTTCCGGATTAAAACACCGCTTTTTTTGTTGAACTGAATCATTAAAATTAA